GACAATTTATGATCATGATTGGTAGAGAGTTACCCGCTGAGTTTTTTTTTTTTAATATTGGAAAAACATAATTACATCGTAATACATGAAAAAAATAACAGAAAGAAAGTTTTTCATGATCATATGAGTTTGTCGGATAACTACGATTAAAAATAATTTAGTATATGTATTTTTGTAAAACATAATAATTTTCATTTATGTTAATAAAATTTCTTGGCATTAGTATCACAAGATATATATATAATTGTAGTTAGATAAGGCGTAATTTCTATATATGTAAGATAGTTAAATAAATATTATCATAATATTAGTATCATGCAAATTTAACATATAACACTTTGATATTTCGACTATGTAATTTGTTACAGATTATAATATAAACAAAATAAATAATTTAGTTACTATTACACACACGTAATATTAGCTTGTGAATATAAAAGCTGCTTAATAATTGCTAAAATTAAAATCAGGAAAAAAAAGTTTACTTGTCAAGCTTATAAAACCCACTTATTACTTTAACAAATAAAAATTCCTTAGCAAAACGAGTTTATAGTTAGAATTAAAAGTTCTTACTACTTATTTAAGTTATTTAATTTATACTTTAACTGGTAAATATAATTATTTAATTATTATTTATTGCTGTAAATAAGCACCTTTATGTTGTAATATTTTTAAAAGCCACACACATATAGATTATTTTAATTTTTTAAATATTTTTTAACTTTGATCGAAGATATCTCAGCATTCACCTAACCAAATTCGTTCAATTTTTTTTTTTTTGAATTTTATGGCTTTTTATAATTAAAATAAAAAAAAATTGATCGAATTTGATCAGGTGGGTGCTGTGATATCTTTGATCAAAGTTTGTGAAAAATTTTTGCCGCAGCTTATATTTGATAGACATTTAGAATTTTACAAGACAAAAACTTTGATCGAAGATATCTTGGCATCCACCTGATCAAATTCGATCAACTTTTTTTTATTTTAATTATAAAAAGCTGCAAAAATTTAAAGAAAAAAAGTTGATCGAATTTGCTTAGATGGATATCAAGATAACTTCGATCAAAGTTTGTAAACAACTTTTGCCACAGCTTATATTTAATAGACATTTAGAATTTTACAAAAAAACTTTGATCGAAAATATCTCGGCACTTACCTGACCAAATTCGATCAATATTTTTTTCTTTGACTTCTGCAGCGTTATATAATTAAAATAAAAAAAAGATGATCGAATTTGGTCAGTTAGATGCTGAGATATTTTCGATTGAATTTTGTAAACAACTTTTGCCGTAGCTTATATTTGATAGACGTTTAGAATTTTGCAAAAAAAAACTTTGATCGAAGATATCTCGGCACTCACCTAACCAAATTTAATCAACTTTTTTTTCTTTAACTTCTGCAGCCTTTTATAATTAAAATAAAAAAAAGATGATCAAATTTGGTTAGGTGGATGCCAAGATATTTTCGATCAAAATTTGTAAACAACTTTTGCCGCAGCTTATATTTGATAGACGTTTAGAATTTTGCAAACACTTTGGTCAAAGATATCTTGACACTCACCTGACAAAATTTAATCAACTTTTTTTTTTTTGAATTTATAAATTTAAAATATTTATTTATTAATATAATTAATTTTTTTTTATTTATATTAATTTAGATAATATTTTAATATGTCAGAGTCTAAAAAAGCTAAACATAGTACTGAAAAAAATATTGGTGGTCGTCCTTTAAAACCAATTTGGAATTTTTATGATAGAGGTAAAATACTAGATAATTCAGGTCATTATGAAGCTATTTGCAAAGCATGTAGTCAGTCATTTATACCTGGAAAACCAGCACAAATGGAAAAGCATATTATTAGTGATTGTGTAGAAGTTTCTGAAACAGTAAAAGAAGCAGTTATATATATTGTTGAATCTCGAGAAAAATCATCAAGCAGTACTGGATCTAAATATTCAAATGAACAACTAAGTCTTGATGAATTTTTAGAAAGTACCGTTATACCAGATAAACGTATTGAATCAATAAATAGAGCACTTATTAAAGCATTTGTATGTTGTGGCTTACCTTGGAGACTTATTGAACATCCATTTTTTGTTGAATTTTTAAAGCAACTTCGCCCTGCTTATAATCCACCTGGTAGAAAATTTGTTGCAAATAATTTATTAATGAGTGAAATAGTAAGAATTGACACATATTTGTATAAATTAATTAAAAATGCAAAAAATTTAACAATAGGTATTTAATTTATTTTAAATTTTTTTAATTTAATATAATTTATAATTTAATTTAATATTTTAATATTTATTAA